TCAGAAGGAACTTGGATAGATGGGATAGCTTGTTAGTAGTCCGGTCGGCATGGTAAGGATATGATTAGTTCTTTGGGTGCTTACGAGGAAATGAGTTTCTATAGGTGTTTCGCGGCAATGCTCTTGAGTTTTAGTGGCCTGCGTAGCTTGGTTGAGTTAGAAGGATTCAGTCCTGATGGCTTAGTTTTATGCAAATGGAATTTGGAGAGTTCTTGATGGTTTCTACCACGGTTAGAGATGTATATTTTCTACAAGCGTGAGGAGCATGGGATGTATAGTGATTTTCTTCTAGATGGGATCACTGGAAAGTTCTTGGCTAGTTGAGTACGTAGTTGCTTGTGGATCGGAATGGATATGGAGTTCTCATGTTTATCCTAGGATGGTATGGTATATGCGGTATATTGTGTAGGATTGAGATTTGCATGTGTAAGGTCACGGTTTAGTTTTGAAAGGAAGGTCACAAATTCTTAGGTAGCATGGACAGTTTTAGATGACCAGATAAATGAGATCACTAATTGGTGTGGCTTGATGAGGGTATACATTTTAGAAAGGGCGATGTGTTTGAGTTGAGGATACTTCATTAGTATTGCGGTACTCTCTTGTTGGATCGACTGTTGATATGCGAGTTTTCTTGGTGGCACAGAAGAATTATAGGAGTATCCCACGTGGAATGATCAAGTATCAGATGTATGTTAGATGTTCGGGCAGTGTAGCTGGGATCGGATATGGAGATTCGTGTGCTTTATGCATTGGGAGGCTAAGAGTTCCCGTGAGTAGATGGTTTTGTGACTGTGGACTGTGAGAAAATAGCTAACGTTAGTCAGAGGGTAGTATGTGCTATGATTCAGTCATTGTGAACCTTCAAAGAGTTATTTATCTGTTGTGGGTGACCATAGTTGATTTGGGGTTCATTAGTGGGCCCAACATGGATGTGTGCTCTGCACCAGGTCGGATTTTTGACTCCGAACTACTATTGTTGAGAGATGTGCCATTCGATTGTTGTTGAGCTTGTTCGTGTTCCGGAGTGATCTATGATGTTACTCCTCTGTGTTACGAGGTGTGGTGATTCATCGGTTATATGCATATATGGTGTGATTACATTTGGGCTTTATAGAAGCATGTGAGTGAGCCGGGTATTTGGGTGTTGCATGAGTGATTGCGTATTGGTTATGTTCTTTTGGGTTGTGTGGTGTTATGTCATTTGCTTCTCCATGGTTATGGTAATGCACTCTGGGTCCTTGATGTTGGTTTCTGAATGGTTATGGATTTTGAGCAGGGTGGCTCGAGGTATATGATGTAGACAGCATTTGAAAGGGGTACCGCATTACATCGGAGTTATGTGGAGGTATGATCATTCGGGTTAGATTCATGTGTTCTGGTTCTACAGTGTGTGATGGGTTCTTAGCATCGTGTTGTGATGGTACCAGTAAGCTTGCGGTACAGCTCTCTCATTTGAGCCATCTTTCCATGATTTGAGTACATTTGGACTGTTGCTTATTGGTGCACGGGTTGGTTGGGTTGTGGATTTAGATTGTATCGATGTGTCATGTCACTAGAGTGGTCGTGTTGGATGCGATGAGGTCATTGAGGCCTAGAATGAATACTATCGGATTCGATTTCAGCATGTTGGAAGGATAATATCGGGATTCGGCTTAGAAAATTATCGGAATTCGGCTTAGAAATTTACTATGCTTCTTGCCGGCGGAGAGGGAGCTCCATGACTGGTTGATCTGAGGAATGGTTATGACGTTCTGCGTGTTTTATTCATCATTGGCAGTATACAAAAGTGTTAGAATGAGGCTTTGTTTTATATGAGGTTTATTACTGGTATTGGGTTGTTTGAGCAGCTGCTGCGATTAGAAGTTATCGCTATGAGTGTTTGAGTTGTGTGGTGTATCACGTGAGTTCATCTTGAATTGCGGTTATGGCTTGATACAATGTGTTCAGACTTATTCAACATATAGATGTGGATTCTGATATTATAGATAAGTACGGAACTAGAAATTTGGTTCTAAAGTTCATGGGCTTGGTTGGATTGAGAAATTTTAATTATGTTGCGTTATCAAACCTATATGGGATAAGGTGACGTGGGATCACCCCCGGGTATCTGCATGGTAAGGTTATACAGCGATTTGTTGGCTTTTGGAACAACTCTAGGTACGTTCGAGGACGAACGTATATTTAAGTGGGGGAAGATGTAACGATCCGACCGGTCATTTTGCGCATTTGCACTTTGCTCGCCAGTTCTCGGGCATGACTAGCTCCGTATGATGTGTTATGACGTATGTAAGTCGTCGGTTTTGGTATTCAGGATAATTGGAACAGATTTGGAAGAACAATTCTCAGTTGAAGCTTTAAATTTGAAAGGTTTGACAAAATTTTGACTTTTTAGTATATGATCTTGGATTTGGATTTTTACGATTTGGTTAGCTCCGTTAGGTGATTTGGGACTTAGGAGCGTAATCGGAATGTGCTTTGGAGGTCCGGAGTAGATTTAGGCTTGAATTGGCGAAATTGGAATTTTGGCATTTTTCGGTTGATAGATGAGATTTTGATATAGGGGTCGAATGGAATTCCAGAAGTTGGACTAGGTCCATTATGTCATTTGTGACGTGTGTGCAAAATTTCAGGTCATTCGGACGAGGTTTGATAGACTTTTTGATCAAAAGCGGAATTCGAAGTTTTAGAGTTCTTACGCTTGAATCCGTGGTGATTTGATCTCTTAATGTTGTTTTGAGTGTTCCGAAGGTTGGAACAAGTTTGAATGATGTTACGCGACTTGTTGGTATGTTTGGTCGAGGTCCTGAAGGCCTCGGGATGGTTTTGAGTGGTCGACGGAATGTTTAGAGCGGAGTTGTTGCTGCAGATTTTTGCACCTTCTGTTGTTTCCGCACTTGCGGATTGGGGACCGCAGGTGCGATGTTCGCAGAAGCGGTGAGCAACTGCAGATACGGGTTTTGCCGCAGGAGCGGGGGGATTTACCGCACATGCGAGCCCGCAGGTGCGATGCCTGGGGCGCAGGTGCGGAAGCTGGTGATTTAAGTTAAAACCGCAGGTGCGGTCATTTTTTTGCGCAGATGCATAATAGGCACCGCAAATGCGAAAGTGCTGGGCAAAATCTATTCAAAGGCCCTTCGCAATTTTCAGTCATTTTCTTCACCATTTTTGGTTGATTGTGGAGCTCCAGGCTGTGATTTCAAGAGGGGATCAAGTGTTTTCATTGAGGTAAGCTACTTGGGCTTTATACCTTGTGTTTATGGTGATTATTTCATTGTTTCATCATGAAATTTGTGGGAAAATTGTAGAAAGAATTGGGAATTTAGGGCTTGGAACTTGAGACTTTGGTTAGGGATGTGAGGGGCCGTTTGGGATCCGATTTTGATGTTTGATATGTATAGACTCGTGGGAGGATAAGAATTCTATTGATGTGATTTTTATTGGATTCCGAGACGTGGGCCCGGGGGCCGAGTTTGGCCAATTTCGGGATTTTGAGTTTAATTTGATAATTTTCGTGTGGGCTTTGTCTCTTTGGCATGTACTGATGTTATGACTCTGATTTTGGATAGATTCGAGGTGATTTGAGGACCAGTCGAGCGGCAAGGGCATCGCGGTGTTGGTGTTCGTCCGGATCGAAGTAAGTAATGATTGTAAATGTTGTCCTGAGGGTATGAAACCCCAAATTTCACATCGTTGTGCTGCTTTGAGGTGACACACATGCTAGATGACGAGTGTGGGGTCATGCACTGTTGGGGATTGTGACTTGGTCCGTCCCGTGCGGCTGTTAAGTCGCGTATTTGATTGAAAATTGTTTGATATCATTGTGTTCTGGAAAATATTACTATGTTTTGGGCTGAATGCCATATTTGGGCCTTCTGCCAACCGTTTGGACCCTTGGGGGCTTTCTGCTACTGTTTTCTCGCATTGTTTGATTTGAAAGCATATCCTCAGTCATGATTTTTACCTGTTTACTTTTGATTCAATTTTAATACTTTGTTTTAAATATATGAAAGTTGTTTGGGCTGAGCACCATGTTCTATTGATAGCCGAGTGGCTTGTGAGCACATGATGACTGAGAGGGACCGAGGGTCTGATTGAGAGGTTGATGACTGAGAGAGGCCGAGGGCCTGGTAGTGAGGATTTTATATATATATATATATATATATATATATATATATATATATATATATATATATATATATATGGATCGGGCTGCACGTCGCAGCGATATTATATATATTTATGGATCGGGCTGCACACCGCAGCAATATTATATATATTTATGGATCGGGCTGCACGCCGCAGCGATATATGTATCGGTTGCACGCCGCAACAGTTTTTATAAGGTACCTTATGAGCGTGAGTGCTGAGTGTGAGCACTGATTGATGAGAGTTGAGTCTCGAGTGACTGGGAGGCTTGCCCGAGGGGCTATATATATATATATATGAGTAATGCTTTGCCTGAGGGGCTTGTTTTTATGAAATTACTGATTTCACTTCTCCTTAAAGTGAGTCTATATTGAATATTTTTAATTAAATTACCGATTTCACTCATCTTTATGCCGATCCTCTATAGAAAATGTTAAACAAATATTTTGGACAATTTTCATTGAACTGGAGTTTTTACGAGATGTTCGAAATTTAATCACTGATTTGGCTTTGTTATTTCCTCTGGCACTTTTCCTGTTTCGAGATGTATATGCTTTATATTTTGCCGGAGGGGCTGTATACGAACTACGTTTTAGAATACGACGAAGGAAAAGGACCCATGAAGTCTATTCCCCAAACGTCGAATATTTCACAAACCTGTATTAGCTGCAAAGGCATCTCATCTCTCCTCGTGATGTTACATGTTCTTTGGCATCTATCACAAGTTGCAACATATGTTCTAGCATCTTTGAAAAGTGTAGGCCAAAAGAATCCCGCCTCTAAAACTAAAGGCGGTTCTATTTGCTGCGTAATGACATCCTACTGCCCGTCATGGCAATGATGTAGAATGTTGTTCATTTATTCTTCAGATACACATCTTCTGATAATGTTATCTGCACAAATTTTAAACAAGTAAGGTTCATTCCACAGATAATATTTAGCATCAGATATAAGCTTTTTTCTTTTCTGGTAAGAGAGATCTTGGGGTGTCCATTACCAACCAAGTAATTCGCAAAATCTGCAAACCAGGGTGGTTGAGTCACAACTGAGTTGACTGAAAAAATGTGTTCATCAGGAAACTCTTCCTTTATATCACAAGATCCAAGGGGAGGATTTTCTAATCTAGACATATGGTCAGCTACCTGATTTTCTGTTCTTTTTTTATCTTTTATCTCAAGGTCAAATTCTTGAAGAAGTAAAATCCATCTTAACAATCTAGGTCTAGCGTCCTTTTTTACTAAAAGGTATTTTAAAGCTGCATGATCAGTAAAAATAGTGACCTTCATTCCTATCAAATATGAACAAAATTTATCAAATGCAAATACTACTGCCAATAACTCTTTTTCTATAGTGGCATAATTCAGCCGAGTCTCATTCAATGTCCTACTGGCATAGTAAATGGGACGAAAGATCTTATCCTTTCTCTGGCCTAAAACAGCTCCAACTGCTATATCACTCGCATCACACATGACCTCAAATGGCAGGTTCCAATCAGAGGACACAACTACAGGTGCAGTTGATAATTTTTTCTTAAGAGTGTCAAAAGATTTTATGCAATCACTTGAAAAATCAAACTTAACATCTTTCATCAAAAGGTTAGTAAGCGGTTTTGAAATCTTTGAAAAGTCTTTCATGAACCGTCTGTAAAAACTTGCATGACCAAGAAAACTTCTAATGCCTTTAACAGTTGTAGGAGGGGGTAATCCTGCTATTAGATCAACTTTTGCCTTATCAACTTTTATCTCTTTAGCCGTGATTTTATGTCCTAAAATAATTCCCTCAGTAACCATAAAATGATATTTTTCCCAATTAAGAATTAAGTTTGTCTCTTCACATCTCTTAAGAATCAAAGTCAAATGGTAAAGACAATCCTCAAATGTTTTGCCAAAAAGTGTGAAATCTTCCATAAAGATCTCTAGAAACTTTTCAGTCATGTCAGAAAAAATTGCTGACATGCACCATTGAAATGTAGCAGGGGCGTTACACAGACCAAATGGCATTCTTCTGTAGGCATATGTTCCATGAGGACAAGTGAAAGTTGTCTTATCCTGATCTTCGGGTGCAATTGGTATCTGGTTATATCCTGAATAGCCATCAAGAAAACAGTAAAAACTATAGCTTGCAATTCTTTCCAACATTTGATTAATAAATGGTAAAGGATAATGATCTTTTCTAGTGGCATCATTGAGACGTCTGTAATCAATGCAGACTCTTCATCCTGTGATAGTCCTAGTAGGTATGAGCTCATTATTTTTGTTTTTTACAACTGTCATACCTCCTTTCTTTGGCACTACCTGGACGGGACTTACCCAAGGGCTGTCTAAACTGGGATAAATGATACCTGCCGCTAACAGCTTTACAATCTCCTTTTCTACCACTTTTTGCATTGTCGGATTCAACCTTCTTTGGGGCTGGACTATTGGCTTGTAGCTATCCTCCTTGAGGATTCTGTGTGTGCAAATAGCTGGACTAATTCCTTTGATATCTGCTACCGTCCAACCTAAAGCTCCTTTGTGAGCTTTCAATACTTCAATTAATTTTTCTTCTTGTTCTGCAGTCAAAGAAGATGATATAATCACTGGAAAAAATCCTTGCTCAAGATAAACATTTTAAATGGGAAGGGAGAACTTTGAGTTCAATTTTTGCTTGAACTTCTTCTGGTTGTATCTCCATGTCCTTGGAATCCATTTCCAATATTTCGGCTTCACTCCTGATTATGGGATCATCACCTTGTGTGGTGCCTGATTTGGCCAAACATCTTTCCATTGAGTCTGAAATTAATTGATCATTTTTGAATTCATCTGCAAGATAACTAATCACGTCAATTGAAAAGCAGGAAGATGATGTTTCATCCCCTGAAAATCTTAGTATCTTTTGCATATCAAAAATGACTCTTCCTTCATCAACTCTCAAGATTAGTTGTCCTTGATGGACATCTATGATTGCTCTACTTGTAGCAAGAAATGGTCCACCCAAAATTATTGGTTCATCAGGACATTCTTTCATTTCAAACACTATGAAATCTACAGGGAAAATAAATTTATCTACTCTTACAAGTACATTTTCAATTATTCCCTTAGGTTTCTTAGTACTTTGATCTGCAAACTGAAGAGAAAAACTTGTGTCTTTCATTTCACCAAGATCTAATTTTCTAAAGATAGAAAATTGCATCGAATTTGTGGAAGCTCTAGAATCACAAAGTGCTTTTTCAAAATACACTCCTCCCAAAGTGGATGGAATTGTAAAGCTACCGGGATCGCCGAATTTTTGTGGTAGTTTATTTTGAAGTATAGCACTGCATTTTTCAGTCAGCATTACCACAGAAACTTCTTCCAATTTCCTTTTGCTTGACAAAATTTCTTTTAGAAATTTGGCATATGAAGGCATTTGCAATAAAGCATCAACAAAAGGAATTAATATGAATTTGTTTTAAAATCTCCAAAAACTTTGCGAATTGGCTATCAATCTTTTTTCTTTTCAATTTTTGTGGAAAAGGAATTACCACAGGTATGGGAGTCATTTTTTAAATATTCTTTTCTTACTTTTTCTTGACTTCTTTCCCTTCTGATGATTCGAAGGGTGTTTAAACATTCTTACCCTTGTCTACCTGTTCATCTGACCGAACTTTTTCTTCTATATTTATGTGGGGTTCATCGAACTCCTTACCTGACCTTAAGGTGATGGCCTTAATGTGTTCTTTTGGATTTTTCTCTGTATTACTTGGTAAAGGACCTTGAATCTTTTATGACACAAGAGTTGCCAGTTGGCTTAATTGAACTTCCAAATTTTTTAAGGCTGAATTCTGGCTTTCCATCTTTTCATCAGTGACCTTAATGTACTTGTACAAAAGATCATCAAGACTTGGATGAGCTTGTTGAGGTTTTTGCTGGTATGGATATGCTTGCTGATAAGGTCTAAAATTTGATTGTCCACGATTTTGATGTTGGTATCCGGGTGGAACATGTACCTGTTGTTTCTGGAAGCTTTGAGAGTTCTCAGCACCATTTGGATTGCTCCATTAAAATCCTGGATGTTTCTGTGCCATTGGACTTCCAAAAGGGTATTGTTTGTACCTGATGACATTGACTTGTTCATCATTTTGATTGATTGCTTGGCATTCATGGTTCAGATGGTTCCCTCCACATATTTCACAAGTCTCAGACTGACTTGGTTGTTGAGTATTCACCTGAAAAGATTCAAACTTTTGTGCCAAATAAATAATCGGTTGCGTTAGTGTATTTAAAGCATCTACCTGATTTACCGTGGCGGCCTTTTTGATGATTACACGCTCAGATGGCCATTGGATGGCATTCTCAGAGATTTCATTCAGCAACTGCAATTCTTCTTCTGTGGTCTTTCCCATTAAGGAACCTCCTGCGGCTGCATCTATCACATTTCTAGAAGAGGGTTTTAACCCGTGATAGAAAAGGTACAACTGCATATGTTTAGGAATGTCATGATGTGGACATCTTAGCATTGCTTTTAATCTTTCCCAAGCTTGATAAACACACTCAGTGTCTGTCTGCAAAAAATTAGATATATCTTATCTTAACTTTGTGGTTTTAGCAGGGGAAAAATGTTTATTCAAAATTTTCTGAGTCATCTGGTCCCATGTGGTTATGGATCCTTGAGGCAAGCTTCGCAACCAAGTCTTGGCGTCTCCTTTTAAAGAAAAAGGAAATAGCCTTAACTTGATTGCTTCAGGAGGTACTCCATTATACTTATCAATTTCAACAAGTTCCAAGAAATCAATTAAATGGTTGTGTGGATCTTCACTGAATCTCCAGTGAAGATATAAGATTGTTGAATTGTTTGAATCAGGCCGGTCCTGATTTCAAAGTTGTTAGCTGCCACATGGGGTTTCCTAACACTAGATTCACAGTTGAAGCGATCAGGTCTAGCATAATCGCTTAGGATTCTATTTGCTGGTCTTGGCGCAACTTCGCCAAACTGATCTTCTATATGGACTGGTGGTGGGATTTCCAGTGGGTTGATGTTCTCTAATTCTAGGTTCTCCATTTCTTCACAAGCTATGCCTTGAGAATATGATATTTGTTTTTTCTTGCGCAACCGAAAAAATCTTTCAACTTCGGGATCGTAATTGAGCAACTCTTTTATAGAAGAGCGGATCATAAACTACCAGAAATAATGAAATATAAAGAAAATTAATTAGCTCCTCAAGTAGTACTAGTAGTTGGTGATAAAGAAAATGATATTATTTAAATAGTAATTATACTAGAATTAATGAAAAATAATAGTTACAAAAAGAAAATGTAAAAGAAAATAGCGACAAATGTAAATAGTAAATCACTACTAATAATAAAAAGAAGTAATATAAGTACTATAATACTATTGATATTTCTAGTGGTATAATAGTAGTGGTGGTACAAAAAGTTGAAATGGTTATGAATATAGTTGACAATAGTACGATATAGTGATGGAACTACTCACAATGATAAGAATTAGTACTTCTATTGAACGTCATACTTGTAACAATAATAGCTATAGTATTTAGTTGATACTAACAAAAACAAAAGATATATATAGTAATATTAAGTGCTCAAATTAGTAATAAAATATTTAATCTGAAGTAGATGTAATGCCAATCCCCGGCAACGGCGCGAAAAATTTGACAAGCTTCTGGCGTATAGAAAAACAAGGCTCGTACTACGTCAAATTATAGTATAGTTTATGATATCGTCCCACGGAGATTGAAAGATCTATGCTACAGATTTATGGTATTTTAACTACTATCTGAGAGAATCAAATTGATGAAAGAAGAGTAGGATTTTAGAATTATAAATTTACTTAAACAATATCAAATGAGTTCCGGAAAATTTATATTTAAAAAGAGTTGGAAATCATTAAATTCACTTGATAATGTTATTATAAAACTATTTCAGTTTGAGATATATTTTTTCGAAGAATAATTGCTTATTGCGAATACAATTATATTTACTCACTCTAAAACAATCAATTAATATCACTCCGCGAGGTTATAGATATTAATTAATTGATATTTAGTGACAGTAAAAACTGAAATAATATTTTTGCCTGAATTGTACTAAAATTAATGAAAACCTCTTGAGATTATTTTCACCGAGTCACTAATCTTAATTGAGTCAATCCCTTCTTGAGAATTAGAATTGAAAGAAATAAGATAAAGACTTTTGAATCAGTTGCCTTGCTTGAGTCAATTCCTCCTTGAGGATTAGACTTGAAAGAAGCAAGTTAAAGACTCGGAATAACATATTGTTACAAATTACTATCACTCTATTTTATTAAAATAATTATATAGTGTACCAATTTTGCTTCGTGAGAATTACAAAATTTATACAAGAATAATTAAGTGATAAAATAGATGAATGTGACAATAATAACTACAATCTATCATTCTAGTACATAATAGATTTGAAATAGAAATTTTCATGACAAGCACGTATGAAACTGAAATTGAAATTATAATAATATATCAGGCTTCATCAACTATCCCAACAAAAAAAAATTACTCCATAGAGAAGTATTTAATTTTTACAAAGACGAGAAAGAAGATGTCACAACCCAAATCTACTATGTCGTGATGGCGCCTAACGTGGAACTAGGCAAGCCGATTCTTTTATCAAAAACAACCCGATATTTAAAATAAGGATTTCTCCAAGCTATTTAATTAATAAAACTTCATAAGATAAATCCGAATAACATAGTGCAGAATGAAAATCCTGACATTAGGGTGTCACAAGTCACGAGGATCTACCAAGGACTGTCTGATAAAAAGCTAAGACTAATACAGTCTGGAAAATAACTAATAATATCTAAAGGAAGATAGGAGGGAGAAGAGCAAGGTTGCGATCGCCATGCAGCTACCTTGCTAACTCCACAGATCCGCGGCGGATGTAATCAACGCTCGCTAGCACGTCCAGCAACCCCTGGATCTGCACACAAAGTGCAGGGAGTAATGTGAGTACGCCAACTCAGTAAGTAATAAAGGTAAATAAAGACTAAGCAGTAAGAAACACATAAAAACCACATCATGAAATCTCAGTAAGTACAACATGCTTTCAAATCAATATGTGAGTCAAATCATCTCGTATTAAATCTAGTTTTCAGTAAAAATCATTGAAGATATCTTTCAACAGTTTTCAACAGAGGCTCAATGCAATTGATAGTAAAAGTGATAAAAATCATAAATAGCCCCTCGGGCATATCTCATATCACTCACTCAGGGTACCCGCGCTCACTGGGGGTGTGCAGACTCCGGAGGGGCTCCTACATCCCAAGCGCTATAATCTGCACGGACAACTCACGTGCTATAGTATCAATATCCGAATCCACACGGACAACTCACGTGCTGCACGGACAAATCCCTACTCTGCAACGCCCTTGCCTCTGGATCGGCCTCCAAACGTCCCGAATCTAGCCAAAAGCAATACAATGTAATCAATATAGGCCAAGGAACCAATTTCATACGAAAAATTATCGATTTAGACAAAATCCCTAAATTCACCCAAACCCGGTGTCACGATCCGGATTTTCCACCCTCGGGAGTCGTGATGGTGCCTACTATTAGGAGCTAGGCAAGCCAATTATTTATTATCTCTTTTAGCAAACCTCGACATTATTAAAAACAATGAAACATTTAATAGAAAAGCGGAAGTCTTAAATATAAATAAACTGAAAGCAATGCGGAAGTTCAATACAACTCTACCCAAGAACTGGAGTCACAAACTCACGAACGTCTAGAGAATGCTAAATACAATGTCTGAATAAAAACATAATTTTGTTTGCTCCGGTACAAAGGATAACAAACAAAAGTAAAGATAGAAGAAACTCTGGGCCTGCGGACGTCAGCAAGGCTACCTCGGTGTCTCTGGACTGAAGTCAGCTCCCAAATCTACTATTGCTGTCCAAAAGCTGCTTCGGCACCGTGATCTGTGCAAAAATATGCACAGAGTGTAGCATCAGCACAACCGACCCCATGTGCTGGTAAGTGCCTGGCCTAACCCCGGCGAAGTAGTGACGAGGTTAGACCGGACTACCAAACAAACCTGTGCAATTCAATATATATGTATGCAATATAAAGGTATACAGAAATTAACCAGTCAAGGGGGGAGGGGGAGCATGCTGTAGGGGCTGTAACAGTTCAGGTATAAAATCAATAATTAAGGAATGAAACAGTACAACTACAATATCAACGAGAGTAGGAAATCAACAGTTGCACGGCAACATCCTTCGTGCTTTTACTCTCATTCTCACCCAAACAATCATATAAAGTGCACGGCATCACCCTTCGTGCTTTACCTCACAAAATGATGGCACGAAATGATCATTTGTGCATAAACACTCATATCATGGCACGGAATGTTCCTTCGTGCAATAATAATCATATC